TAATCTTATTTTGCTTACGAGTTTTGTATTAATTTTTACCCGAAATCGTATTTTAATATAAAATTTCAATTATCATATAGAATTTCGATTGATGCCAAATAGACATGCGCCTGTAAAAATGACAACCCTTACACTGGACAACTGCCAAGAAAGATTGCATTTTTAACTAAAAAATTCATAATTTACAAACGACGAGGGGTTGGATTTTTATAAACATTTATATAGGGTTTTTGTTAACCCTTTTAGCGTAATTATTTAACAAACAGAAATATTTAATGCGCCGGTAAAAATGACAACCCTTACACTGGACAACTGTCAAGAAAGGTTGCATTTTTAACTAAAAAAATTCATAATTTACAAACAACTAAGGGTTGTATTTTTATAAACACTTATATAGGGTTGTTGTTAACCCTTTTAGCGTAATTATTTAACAAACATAAATATTTGATGCCCCTGTAAAAATGACAACCCTTACACTGGACAACTGTCAAGAAAGATTGCATTTTTAACTAAAAAAATCATAATTTACAAACGACTAGGGGTTGCATTTTTATAAACACTTATATAGGGTTGTTGTTAACTCTTTTAGCGTAATTATTTAACAAACAGAAATATTTGATGCGCCTGTAAAAATGACAACCCTTACACTGGACAACTGCCAAGAAAGATTGCATTTTTAACGAAAAAAAATTCATAATTTACAAACGACTAGGGGTTGCATTTTTATAAACACTTATATAGGGTTGTTGTTAACCCTTTTAGCCTAATTATTTAACAAACAGAAATATTTGATGCGCCTGTAAAAATGACAACCCTTACACTGGACAACTGCCAAGAAAGATTGCATTTTTAACTTAAAAAATTCATAATTTACAAACGACTAGGGGTTGCATTTTTATAAACACTTATATAGGGTTGTTGTTAACCCTTTTAGCATATTATTTAACAAACAGAAATATTTAATGCGCCTGTAAAAATGACAACCCTTACACTGGACAACTGCCAAGAAAGATTGTATTTTAAACTAAAAAAATTCACAGTTTACAAACGACTAGGGGTTGCATTTTTATAAACACTAATATAGGGTTATTTTTAACTCTTTTAGCGTAATTATTTAACAAACAGAAATATTTGATGCGCTTGTATAAATGCCAACCCTTACACTGGACAACTGCCAAGTAGCAAATTGCTAACACTCCACCCACTATAAAATAAAGGCAATTAAAAAAAAAAAAGATTGCATTTTAAACTAAAAAAATTCATAATTTAGAAACGACTAGGGGTTGCATTTTATATAGGGTTGTTGTTAACCCTTTTAGCATAATTATTTAACAAACAGAAATATTTGATGCGCCTGTAAAAATGACAACCCTTACACTGGACAACTGCCAAGAAAGATTGCATTTTTAACTAAAAAAATTCATAATTTACAAAGGACTAGGGATTGCATTTTTATAAACACTTATATAGGGTTGTTGTTAACCCTTTTAGCGTAATTATTTATCAAACATAAATATTTGAAGCGCCTGTAAAAATGACAACCCTTACACTGGACAACTGCCAAGACAAAGATGGTAATTAATGGGCACATGAATTTTTCAGATTTATTAAAATTCTGAATTAAACTTTATGGTACAAAAATCTGATTCCTATATCCAGCCCAAATTCAATATGCTGGTAAATATACAGGTTACATTTAATATACAAACCAATCAAACGGTTAAATTCTCCTGTAGATCGAACATTTTTTTTTAATTAAATGAATTTTATTAGATGTAACAGGAGAGTTTTTCCATTCACGGTATTTTTTATGCGAGAGTCAGTTGTCGATAATTTAAGGAAAGACAGTTAAAAAAGAAGGCGCAAAACTTTAGTGATTAACTACGTAAAGTTTTTTGAAAGAACAACCGTAGGGCGATTTAATCTTTAAGAATTGATTAAAAACAAAATTGGGTGGCGAGAAAATATTTAACACATACAAAATAATTATACCGGACGGCAACAAGAGTGCTAGTTATAACATAAACCCCAGAGGGCGATAGTATATTCACCATGTCCAGGAGGATGAGTCTAACGCTTGCGCGGTGGTTCCGGGAATAAAGTAGAACAAGTTGAATGATACTTTATCTATAAACCACGACGACGAAGACATCGAAACCGGTAACTAAAACACTGATACTATCCCAAGCACAACGGGTGTTTGATCCTATAGGTTACAGTTGTCCAGTCACATTGCTCCCAAAGTTGTGGTTACAGAAAACATGGGAAAAGACACTGAGGTGAACCGATAAGGTTGACGATGATCTCGTTTCTATATGTTGTCGCATCCGTCTGTCTGCTCCAAAAATTTGTAGTACCAGTTAAGTCCGTCCTGCTTCGCAGGAAGTGTATATCTAATCTTATGGGTAAGCAAAAGTTGAAATTGTCAGATTTTTGTTGTTGCCGAAAATCAAATTTTTTTCTCACCTCATTTTAGAGCTGCGCATACAAACATTTTGAAGTTTATTTGGAATTACATGACATACTTATCTCACCCCACATCACATCGCGATATAGTCCAAATGAATTGTATTTTTTGCCTTTTACATCTTCTCAACATAAACGGACGCGTACCAACATGTATATAGTACCTAATTAATGAAATAAAAGGCAGTAGAAATGTGAGTAAATCTTAGATATAAATGCAAACGTGTCCGCAATTCATCTTCGCAATTTTTCTAAATAAAACGCAGATAATGTCATAGTTTGACTTTCCAGCGGGTATTATGAAAATCTCTACGTGATGGAGCGTATCTGCCACAGCAACAATGGCGATCTGGGTAATTTTATAATAATTCTTGCTGAAATATCGCCCACAATAAATCATAACACAAACTGCATTGCAGGACAATGCATTTAAACTTTTTTTTCCATTTTCTTGTCTCATTTCGACAAATAATTGTTCGGTAGTTGCCAAGCATTATTATAAATGACGCAAAGAAATTCGGTTTTCTCATGGAAAAAATTGAACGACTAGGGCGTAATCTATTTTCGGTCATGGTACGTGTGAGACTTACCATAAATATTTCAAGTTTACGCCAATTCGGTCTGGGGATAATTACTTTGGCCCCCAACTAATCACCCTCAATTGTTGTCCTAATAATGCCACAGACAATGTGCAAACCCATACCGCAACTCCGCAAGCGTTTAGTTCGAATTAATCGATGCCGAAACGCGAATTTTTTTTCGCCAGTTTATTGTATGTGCGGTGGAAAACTCTTCATTTAATTACCACCGATAAATAGGGAGGGCGAGAAAATGGCACGCACGCATTCGTTTTTTTTTCCTTGTTTATGAGTATTCTGATTTATTGCAGATGTATATTTCCACTTTTCGGTCGTTCGGGAAATAGCATGGTGATAAAATTCCGTCTTTATCGTCAACAATGATGACACTTAATGCCTTCGTTTTTTTATATTTCGCAGATACGCGAACGTTAGATTTAGTATTTTCAGATGTTTTGTTGAAATTCATTAAGCTAACTTTTTTTCTTTTATTATTTATGAGAGGAGGGATTTATTTATCCTTTAGATGCTGTTTGCGTGACAGATTTATGAAGCGAAAACGATGTTAAATTTTCTAAAAGAGGACTTTAACACGTTTACGGTAAAAAAGTGTGATTATATTTGCAAATATGGAAACAAAAAGAAAACTTTTTGTAACGCTTCGTTATACATACTTTTTATATTGTGTTATCTTTTTGTCAAGACTTTGGAACAACAGCCGTCCATGCTTTCGTTATTATTCACGTATAGTCAATTCACAAGGTTTGGTTTCCCATTTTAATAACAGGAATTGACAAATCACATTCCGTGAATTTAGCATCTAACCTTAACTTAACACCCTGATCTCCTTTTATTGCATTTATCACCGGAAAATGACATACATAACAAAAAGTATTCCAGGGCCTAAAGTTCAATTTTCTTTTACAATGGTGTCTACAAACATTCACTTGAATGGTTTCTTCTATACTAAACCGTAAAATATCATATTGTACCGAAGATTCTAGAAATCCCGATAGACTTCGAGGTGCCATAAAAGATGCACTTCTTCCGGGAAATATGACATGCTTTGTTCGAGAACATTCTAGAATATTCGAGCGTTCGAGAACTTTTGAGAATGATGGGGTTTGTTATACAGGCTGATTCGAATTCGAGGGTCACCATAAGGATCTCGGAAACTGTAAGACATAGGTAGGTAGTTTAAATTGGGGAAAAAGTATATTTAGATGCAGTTTTGAAACTGAAAAAATTCCGACTACGATCGAAACTATCCTGACAAAAACGAATCGTTTTTAGTTTTTACCGAAGTTATTTCAAAAAGCATTTCAAAATAAATGACACATTATTGTTCCTTTTTTTCCCTCTACAAGATGGTAGTTTTAAATTTTAAGTCTGACGTTCCGTCTCCGATTAACCATCATTTACTTTTTGTGTCAAGATGGCGGAGGGTAAGAGCATTATTTTCTTACTGTACCTATTCTGGATGTCTGAAGAATAGATGTCGGGGTTTTGTATCGTATTAAGTTAGGTTAATTAGGGCTATTTAATTACAACTGCAAATTAAGCATGAGACCATTTTCGGGACGCCAGAAGACGAGTCAGTGGAATTTCAGTGCTCTCGAGAAGAGACCAAGTCCAATTGTTGCGTTTAAAAACATGGTTAAACCAGAAGTCGTATTGAAAGGGGCGGCGGTTAATTAAGAGAGAGTAGAGAAAAAATAAAGAGACGGACTCTGAACCACGTACGTACACATTGAGCAGTTCAGATTAATATTCATTTTTTTCATCGCATCTCGTAAATGAATCATGATTTTTTTAGCAAACATAAAGCAACAGTTGCGGAACAGTTTGTTTGAGATACCGAGACAGTAAATGGGTTTATTCAATATAATAATGCAAAACTGTTTCGGAAACCCCTCACGATCACTTTCCTCAGGTCTACCAATGTATATCAAAATGAAGTATTTAAAAACTCACCAATACCGCAGTTAGAACGGACGTCACTAACCTAAAACAAAAAAGATATATTAAAAAAATAATTTGCACACTGAAACAGCATACACTGGAAAACATAGATTTGCTATCTACAGTCGTTTGCATCATGACCGTTACGTCACTAGTTTATGAATCAATTTCAAATGAGTTCTTTATTGGCTATCACATGTCAACACATAAGCAAGAAAGAGATGGTAACATTGTGAAATAGTCAGACTTTGGTTCACACACTAGTGACGTAAAAGTCATATTTACTGTGGACAACTGTATTTCTGCAGGGGCCGATTTTGGCGATGCGGCCGGAATATTCTGGAACTGAGTCACTTCAAACTTTTACAAACTATGTCTAACGTCTTTCGTATGTACATAAGTGTTAATTAGTTGTTGGTCCTGATCAAAGACTAAATTAATAATCGGAAATATTCACCATTCTGAACGATGATTTAATCTGAAATTCTGACTAGTACTAATACAAATCGTTTTATTAATAAATTACTGTGGAATAATCATGATCAAAAGTTATAGACTGGAAACCAGACTTCTTAATCAAAAGTTATAGACTATAGACACCAATTTCGAAAAAAAAATTCAAAGGGAATCGAAATCAATTCGTACTTTTTCGATCAGACTTCTTAATCTAAAGTTATAGACTAGAAACCAATTTCGAAAAAAAATTCAAAGGGCTGTAACTTTTGAACTAGTAGCCCAATCTTGGAACTGTTTGAAATTATGGATTCTACAAGCCACATTCTATAAGAAAATTTTTTTCCGGGTCGATCTGAGACAATTTTTTTTCGGGGCTCAAAAAAAGGCAGTGTATAACCTTCCTTTTTTACCAAAAATCGACTACACCAAAATTTCTCGGGAAAACACTTTTCTTATTAATTTGGGTGCGTAGAATCCAAATCAATTCGTACTTTTTCGATCAGACTTCTCAATCAAAAGTTGTACACTAGAAACCAATTTCGAAAAAAAATTCAAAGGGCTGTAACTTTTGAACTAGTAGCCCAATCTTGGAACTGTTTGAAATTATGGATTCTACAGGCCACATTCTACAAGAAAATTTTTTTTCCGGGTCGATCTGAGACAATTTTTTTTCGGGGCTCAAAAAAAGGTGGTGTATAACCTTCCTTTTCTACCAAAAATCGACTGCACCAAAATTTCTCGGGAAAACACGTTTTCTTATTAATTTTGGTGCGTAGAATCCAACACAATTCGTACTTTTTCGATCGGGACATCTCAATCAAAACTTATGCACTAGAAACCAATTTCGAAAGAAAATTCAAAGGGCTGTAACTTTTGAACTAGTAGTCCAATCTTGGAACTGTTTGAAATTATGGATTCTACAGGCCACATTCTATAAGAAATTTTTTTTCCAGGGTCGATCTGAGACAATTTTTTTTTCGGGGCTCAAAAAAAGGCAGTGTATAACCTTCCTGTTTTACCAAAAATCGACTACACCAAAATTTCTCGGGAAAACACTTTTTCTTATTAATTTTGGTGCGTAGAATCCAAAACAATTCGTACTTTTTCGATCAGACTTCTCAATCAAAAGTTATAGACTAGAAACCAATTTCGAAAGAAAATTCAAAGGGCTGTAACTTTTGAACTAGTAGCCCAATCTTGGAACTGTTTGAAATTATGGATTCTACAGGCCACATTCTATAAGAAAATTTTTTTTCCGGGTCGATCTGAGACAATTTTTTTTTCGGGGCTCAAAAAAAGGTGGTGTATGACCTTCCTTTTTTACCAAAAATCAACTGCACCAAAATTTCTCGGGAAAACACTTTTTCTTATTAATTTTGGTGCGTAGAATCCAAAACGTTTCGTACTTTTTCGATTAGACGTCTCAATCAAAAGTTATGGGCAAAAAACCAATTTTGACAAAAAATTTAAAGGGCTGTAACTTTTGATCTAGTTGCCCGATCTGGGAACTGTTTGAAATTATGAATTCTACAGGCCACATTCTATTAGAAAATGTTTTTTCCCGGTCGATCTGAGACAATTTTTTGTTCGAGCGTCAAAAAAAGGCAGTGTATAACCTTCCTTTTTTTTACCAAAAATCGACTACACCAAAATTTCTCGGGAAAATACTTTTTCTTATTAATTTGGGTGCGTAGAATCCAAATCAATTCGTACTTTTTCGATCAGACTTCTTAATCAAAAGCAGGGGAATATAATCCATACAATGAATATGTGCCTTGCATTTCAAAATAATGCAGAAATGTATAGAGAATATTTCGTTTTCCATATCCAAATTTAAATTTCAAACACAGGAAAAATCATATGGAAATTCGACAGATGAAAAATGCAATCGTCAGGTTTTGTAGGTATTTGAAAAGCAAAACACTTCAGCTCTAACTATCCATTATAAAAACAGACGCAAAAATATGTTTAAATCTCCCTCTGGCTGCATACAAGAGTATCAAATATCACTTAGTAGATATCTCGTAGAAAATTAGAGGGTAGATTAAAGACGATATTTGGATTCGTGCCAGAAACTTGATCGTATTTATTTACAGATATCACTCCGTCAGCAAGGTGGGTAATTAATAGATTTAGGTAGTCTGTGTTGCTTACATATGCCGCGCTATATACAAGATATTTGTTATGTAGCGAAGTTTACTTGAAGTTGTGTACTTCCATTTTGGGTATTACTAATTGAATTTGTTTAGATGTTGAATTAACGGTAGCAATTTCACAATTGCTTAATTCAAAATGAAGGAATGCCCAACATTCTATACTTCAAAGGATAGCGTTCTGTGTGGGTATACAAAAAAATATTCAAAATTCATCAGCCCTGGCATAATATACATAAATAATTACAACGTAAAATTGTCCACGAAACAGAAAATTGTTTATTTGGCGAACCGAGAGATACTTGTATTGTGGTTTCGTCAATCGATACTTTTAAGATCTGCCTTATTTGTATTCATTTACAGCTGCAAAAGTGGAACGGTCTGGCAGCTTTCGCTGTTTTTATTGCTGCATTTATTATATGACTTTTACAGCTATAGGTACATTTAACTGTAGCGTACAGCACCTGGAAAACATCAAAGATCTATTAAAATATTTGTTTCGTGTAGATCACAGGATTTCTTCTGATACTAAAACTATTCAAATTCGTGAAGCGATTAATTTTCATTTATTAATCAACTTTAAAGGCATCCCTTTTCTTTACATCAAATTTCTTGTCAAGCGAAAAATTTGCCACTCCGCATCCGCTTTTAAACGAATTGTCCTTAGAGCTCAATACAATTCCATTGTAAAAGAAGCAAAAAGAGTATGGTAGCAATGTTATAATCAGTGATTTTCCAACATGGCGGTGCTTATATTCTGAAGAGCCCCATTCCTGAATTAATTAACACCCTGTATAGTGAAAAACACCACCACCAGGACCCACAATTTCCCACCCCTCTCCCTTATTTTTACAAAAATAAATTAATACTTCGGCATTCACGCCGACATTTATAGGTAGGTAAGTAACATACTAAGCTAAAATGGTGATATTAGATCTGAGTAGGTATTCTAAAACAATACTTTTTTAATAATGACTTCATGTACAAGCCCCATCGTTGCCTGAAAGAAGGATGTAAGCGAGCATACATTATCTCTAAATGAAAACAGCGTAATTAGAATTATTAGCACATTGCACTGATATTAAAATGTGTAGTAACGTTGCCATAATAAAGTGAGCATAACCTAAAATTATTAACGACGTTCCATTTACATTAACTTAATAGTAACAAGTTGGGTAAAGTTCACTTGCATAAGCTGCACTTCGTCTAAGTAATTTAATAATAGTTTATGTGATAAAACAAGTGAGTATGAAGCTGTACATGCTATGGGAGAGAATGAGAAGGAACTGTATGCACTTATTACGTAAACATAGAGGTATGCATTACCTTATCGTTCTTATCCTTTTTATAATGAGTTCTAGAAGTGCATGTGTGCAGTCTAGACGTATCCATTAAGGTCTTATTTCCTTTGCTATGTAGAATATTTACGAAGTTTACAATTAGTGAAATAATGTGGAAGTGATTGTTTATTTGTAGCAACTTGCAACGTTCCATTAGAGAACTGCATTATTTTGCATAATAATTTACTATATTAACGCATTAACTTATTATGAGCTACGTGGCACAAAGTTGAAATTTTCAACGATGTGGGTAATTGTGAATTTGGATTCCCAAGGTATATTAGCCAGCGAATATTTAAACGTCGCCTGAAGAAGGTTACAAATGAGAGAGAACCAGTAGAACATGAGTGTAGATATTTCCCCGCCACAATATATTAAAAACAGAGCAAAGCATTGACACTCAGCTGGCATTCGGAAACACGACTTTTGATCCGGCTCATGATACACTGATCCTTGAACTCGTAGAAATCGATTGGCGAAAGTTTGACAACGCTATCTCTTTCCATTTTCGAGTTAGACGAGGAACAGGACAGACAGATAGACCGACAAAACCATTGCATAAGGGGAATTTTTTCTTATGAAAAATTTTCTTAAAAAACCTGAAATTTCCAAATTTGACATTATTTCGAACGAGGGGTTGGGCATGATCTATTTTAAGGGACAAATATTTGCTTCATTGTCTAAAAATTGCCGCCATTTCCCTTAATTTTCCCAAGATTTCTAGCATTACCTTAAATTTCCCCAAATTTACACATTTTTCGGAAGTAAAGTGCAATGAGTAACGTTACTTGCCTATAGAAATCTTTTATTTCCTTACAATTTCCTCTAAATTTCCACCGAATTTCCTTTTATTTCTTCCTAATATTTCCCTAGAATTTTCCCATTCCTTTGTAATTTCCTCATTTTTCCTAATATTTCCCCAGAATTTTCTCTAGTTTCTTCCATTACCTGCATATTTCCCAGCCATTTCCTACATGAGAAACAAGACTTTCCCTCGTGGTCAACCCCTCGGGTTTGGTCACAACTTATTTTAGGGGACAAAGATCTCCCTCATTACCTAAAAATTGCCACAATTTCCCCAACATTTCTAGTAT